GATTTTTGGATTATGATATAATGTTTCAATAGTCAAGTTTCAGTAGGAGTGTGACTATTCCAATCCATGGTTGGTAGTCAAGCTTACTTTGTGGCTTTTGACACCATAGCATCTTTTACGTAGATTAGAAAGACTAAAACTCACAAATATTTCCTTTTTACCACATACATACTACAACATGATGGAACCAATGAGTGACTTCTATTCAGTAGGGTAACAACCAATTAGCCCCATGCAAGGGATAACTAGTCGCACCCTTTAAAAAATACAAACCACTAAATAATTTGTATATTGTGGATTCTTTGTAATTATATATACAATTAAAACATTCATATCAATCATTACTCACTAATTTGAAAAAAATATTTTAATGATGGATATAATGACAATGATAATATGAAATTTAGATGCTAAAGTTGAATTTTCAATTATTATAAGTATGAAATCCAATCTAAATTATTAATTCAAATCTCATTGTTAATTTATTATCAACAATAATTTATTTTGATTAATTTTGATATATATAGTATTTTAAATTTACTCATATTCAGTTGAGTATCAATGTTTTATCAAAATATAACTTGATCAAAGAAGTAAAAACAATTTAATCAAATTTTCTAAGTCAATTGTTTTGAACTATATTTTATCTAATATATATTTTACAATTGAAATATATATAATCAACATGATAAATAATAATAAGATTTTATGACATATTTGAAACTAAATAACTCATTTATGCCATATATAACTATATTAATTAATTAAATTCAAATAAATGTATTTTAAACAAATTTATGTTATCATATTGTTTATAGAACAATTTTGTTCTTTGATAAATGTAATAAAATTTCATTCAACAATAATAATAACGGAATCACACATACAATGAACATCCAAATACACATGCATAGTCAACATTTCATACATATGATTTATCATTATGTGCCAAGTCAATGAAAATTATAAATTTCAAAAAGATAAATAACGACAAAAATGCCACTAAAAGTTTAGCTCTATCTTCTATATCATATGATCATATACTTTGACTTATTTAACTTTACTAATGTTTTTCAACCTAGTCAATTTGTACAACAAGTTATTTTACTCTTTGTGTACAATTTTTTTTAATGTTAATATCTACAGTAACACTTTAATTATTTCATTACCAACAGATGAAAAAATTCACTATCATTGATAACAATTAAGATAAATTTTTTATTTTTTAAATTTTGGTAAATTATTTGCAAAACCAAATGCAATTATTGATCATTGTTAGCACAACTACAACAAGAGATGTAAAAAATCTGTACAAAATTGATTTTGCATTGAGTGCAAAATTGTATCATAATTATTGATCAACTTAACACAAAATCTTATAGACTTTACATATCATGATTTTTATGTAGATTTATTATCGCAAGATTTAGTTTATTTTTTGTACCATGCTATTTGTCAACAATTCATAGTTTCATTTATTAAACATCTTGATAGCTCTTGCCAACAAAAAACTCACTTCGTGAGCTTACAAGAATATCCAATCAAATCAAAACTTTTGCATGCAAAAAAATAATATATATCTTATTAAAAAGTTGTGTCAAAACTTTAATCCTTGTCAAAAGCTTACAACAAAACTTTGATTCTCTTGTTGTTCATGAATAGTTGATAGTGACAAAAGCTTATAAGCTTGGGTAATAGAGCATCCAAACCTCAAAAAAATTAGATTGATGAACATATAATTGAATCTTGTCAAAGAACATAAAACTGAATCATAAAAAATCATTATACATATTTTACGTCATACTTCTTCAAAAAAGATGTTGACTTGTTTAGACAAAACAAAATACATAAACTACACAACAAATGTTTCTTATTTGCGATAACAACATCAAGATGTAAATAAAACTTATGACAGTTTGGAAATAACTATGAAGTTTGAACGCTAAACTTTAAAACATCATGACAATTGTTGATGTTTACAATAAGAAACCAACTTATTACAATGAAACATGATTGTCATTTATACATATAGAGAAATATATATCAATCTTATGTCACAACGAATAATACTTAGTATAATCTAGAACAATAAAATCAATGGTAAAAAACATATTAAGTCAATAGCAATTGAATTTTGAAAGTAAAATTAATATATATTATGCAGATCTTATTTTAATTATAAATTCTCCATAAAAAAGACGCAAATAAAAAAGTAGACTATTTTAGACGGATTTCATGAATAATTATAAGTCAAACCAAGACATACTATGACATATATCTAGATTTAGATGAAAACTTTAACTTATGTGTAATGACAAAAAAAATTTGAATGTTATTCTAACACAATTAGATACAAGAAGGTTTTATCTTGATAATAGGTCTATATTATGAAAAGTTAACTTGATATTAAGATTCAAAAATCAAGTAAAAAAATTGTAAAACATCTGCAAGTCTGACTTTGAATTGAAGCAGAAATGAAGCATATCCAATTTGTGTTAAATATAAAAGAAAAATATCTTTATTTTAGCAAGTTTCTATTATTTTGCATCAACAATGAAAAATAACAAATGTTAAATTGATGTTTTTTTTTGCTAATTGCAAATATTACAGTTAATACAAAATCAAAAAATATTTAAAAGATTCAAATTGAAACAATATCTTTTACTTTTTTTGATCCATTGGATATTTCCACATTAAAACGTAAACATGACTTTAAAAAGTAAGATTTACATAGCAAAATGCAATAGACAATATAATAGAGTGCATTGAATTAGTGTTTGAACCTTAATGTACATAAAGTAAAATGCAAAATAATTGTGTGAAATCTTTTTTTATACAATGCAAAGCACAACACAATTCAATATATATTGCAAGGATTGAATTTCAAGCCTATATCATAAAAATGTTGAACTCACAATATGCAAGCTACCATTTGTTTAAGATTGCAATAAATCAAACTGCATGCATGAAACATTGAAAATTTAATGTTACATGCAGGAATCATAGTGTGTTGCATGTATAGATTTAAATCTTCATTATTTATATCAATGTTTGTTTTTTGCACTTCATGCATCATGATTATCATAGTATATTGCATTTTTTTCATTGATATTAGTGATGTTTGCTTCTCAGAAAAGTGATTTTGATCAAATTTAAATTTGAGAGATTAAATTACCTCTTTTGTTTGCGTTTTATTGCTTACTAAGCTTAGAAATTGTTCTTTTTGTAACCAATGACAACCTTATATAAATTTAAAGCAAGTTTAATTTTATCTCCATGAGATCGTGAAAATTTTTGTATCCATGTTTTTATAATATTAGATTTGTAATATATAATTATGTATCATGACAATTGTCTATATGATAAATACTCGTTGTCTATATGTGTTTGTTACATTTTTCATTAACATCAAACTTACTCCCTCTATTGTTGACTCTACAATGTATGCTTGTGCTATGAGTTGTATTTATGATAATCTTATGTTGCTTACAATATATGCATAAGGTTAAGAATTCTCATCACAAAAGCTCAAGATCAAATCCATGAACCATACTTGATTTATAAATATTCTGCCCCAAAAAATACAACAATATACTTCAAATACAAAGAATAATTTGAGCTTGCATGAGATTATCTTGAAAGTTTGCATTGATCAAAATTAATCTACATTCATATAATTTAATATATAATATAAAATTGTTTAGTTGACATTTGTTTCAAATTATATGATGCAGTTTGGTTTAACTTATAATATAGAGGGAAAAATCAGATTAATTTGTATAGACAAATCTGGTTTAAATCATCGATATTAACATGAAATTATCTATAATTAAATACCTATGTATTTTATCTTGGAACCTCAATATTTAAAAAAATTTAAAAAATTATTCATAAAATTATTTTTTTATAAAAAATTAATATTTATTTAATATTGACAAATTGTGGTTTACATGTGAAAAATTGTGGTTTAATAATATTACATTGTGAATTGAATGTACAAGTAAGTTCATTCTTATTGACCAAACAATCAGAAAATTTAATATTCAAGATACCAATTAACTGTTTTGAGCTAAATGTTTGAAGGCGACATATATATATATATATATATATATCTATATCTATCTTTTCAAATATTTTTTGCAGTGAAAAAATATTTCTAATAATATCAAAAATATTTATTTTTCAATCAGATCATATGAAACATTCCATGACAATTCTGCACACGAAAACATCATATTGTAACATAAAATATCTCGATAATCTTCAGTTTCTTTGATAATAATAGTTGCTCTTGATTGTAGTTTTACAAATGAAATTGTTGATTTGAAACATGAATTTAGAAAATATTTGTCTCTTCTAAAATTCAAATGTCTACGATGAAAGAGTGAGTATGACGTCATGTTTCAAGATCGGTAATTAAATGTTAATGTTTAAATTTTAATTTCTAATTTTTTTTTGTCCCTTGCTGAAGTAAAATGCGTACAATGTTTCAAATTTGTTACAAGTATTATCAAATATTTTGAGATAAGACAGTGATGGGTTTGACTTCATTCATCGAAGCCAAGCTATATATGTGTTGTGATAGCATGATAATCTTTCATGTGACCATGGATAATGTGTTGCTAGTGAGATTTACTTATATATTTGTTTATTTTGATAAACGGTAACATATTTATCTCCTTTTGTACTTTTGATTTGTATGATGTTGCGAAGTCACCAGCACATAAGCAATATGAGCTTGAATATCATTGGATATTGAAATGTTTCATTTAATTTACTGGCTTTGAAGTTATATAAAGTGTCATGTATATATTTTGATTTTGAGAAGATGAATGTAAATTATCCATTTGGCTTACTGCAGAGCATATTTTGAACACAATTTTGCATTTTTTTATATACAGAGCACTGGTTCGTGATATGAACACGAGAACAAACTGTCATATTTGATGTATTCTAAAATGCACCGAGGCTAAGAGGTCGCTAGATTTAGGTAGCTGTAAATGATCTCGGGTGGTGTAGTATTAAATCTCCAATTCGATGCTCAAGTGGCGAATTGCACGGTTAGTTTGATCCTCGCATGACATAAAGTGGTAACAAAAAAAAAGAGGAAAGATCTTGTTTTTTTTGTTATTTGGCTGCGCTTGGAAGTAGTTCCTTCGGATAACCGACAGGACGATGTGGCAAATAAATAATAAATAAACGAAGGATGGAAAGAAAGTCGAAAAGGAAGCAAGCGAGAGGGCTTTTGGCCGGAAGAGGAAGGAAGAGACAAAGCAGAGGAAAAGTGCAAATGGAAATGTGGGAGAGTGGCCGAAGAGCGAGAGAGAGACGTGCATTGACGGAGCGCGAGAAGGCGCGAGGGAGCGCCACTTTGCGCGACGCGAGAGGGAGAGAGAAAGAAAGAAAGAAAGCGAGGGGCCGGCGGAGAAAGAGAAAGAGCCCGCGTTTGAAATGTGCATCCCGACGCTCCTCCGTGGCTCACGACGTGACGTGGGCGCGGTGGTCGCCTCCACGACCGAGCACTCATTGGGTGCGACCTGCGTCGCCCGGCGCCCGTCGCGCGCCGGGGCCGGAGAGGCAGGCAGGCAGGCGTTGACAAGTAGCGAGCGGGGCCCGGCGGAAGGAGGAGGAGGAGGTGGGGAAGAAAGTGGCGATGCGCTGAAGAAGAAGCGGCAGCGGCAGCAGCACAAGGAACGACGAGGACGACGACGAAGAAGGAGAAGGAGGAGGAGGATCTGCAGCAGCAGACTCTGCGAGGGAGGAGACGAGAGAGAGGAGTGATGAGATGATGAGCGGGGATGGGGTGGGGCGAGCTCCGCGCAGAGGGAGAGCATTGAGAGCATGGAGGAAGGAGAAAGATGTGGAGATGGTGGACGGCGGCATGCAGCAGTAGGAGGAGGGGGAGGTGCCGAGAGAGAGAGAGAGATAGAGACAAGCGCGCGAGGAGTGCACGCGGTGTCTGGGCGGATCCATCGAATCGAGCAGGGCGGTTGCCGGTTGATTTTGCGCTGAGAGAAGATTAAGATCTGATCGCCGAGGCGGACGAAGAAGTGGTGTGGCAAAGTGTCGTGTCCGGTCCGAGGAAGATTGAATCAATCGGTCGATTTTTTTCTAAGCCTAACGACTCGTGGGTGGGTGGGTCGGTCGGTCGGTCTGTGAGTCAGAGCAGTCGCGGAAGAAACGTATCGGACCTGCGGGGGTTTGAGGATTTTACCGGGCGGTTGTGGGGGTAGAATGTGAGAGAATGAGCAGTAATGGGTTGGGAGTAGGGAGCTCATCCATGCGCCGTTCGACTTCTCAATCTCAGAAAATGGACATGCCCAAGCTGCAGGCGCGCATGAGCTCCCCCTTTCCCCCTCATAAAACACAGCTGCCCCCTCGCTACCAGGTAAATCCTGGCCCCTGGCGCTCATCTTGTCGACGCAACACATGGATATTTTTGGGCATGCTGTTACTTCTGTCCTTCTTCTTATATCTCATTTCGATCACCAGAGGCATGCTACTCTCCAGCCACTTTCCCAGGAGGGCAGGTAGCAATAAGGGCTACGCGGTAATCATAGATGCGGGAAGCTCCGGATCTCGTCTTCACGTGTTTCAGTACATCAAGGAGGGCTCCATTCCCCTCCTGGTCCACAAGGGCAAGGATTCGCTCTCTCTGAAAACTCGGCCTGGTCTCTCGTCCTTCGCATCCAACCCCAAGGCGGCAGGAACATCCCTGGACAGGCTTTTGGAGTTCGCGAAGGAAAATGTTCCCGAGAAAGACAGAGGCACTACTCCTCTGTATTTGATGGCGACTGCAGGATTGCGCTTATTGGATGTGGGTGTTCAGGATGCCATTCTGGAATCTTGTAGAGATGTACTCAGATTGGGAGGTTTCATGTTCAAAGATGAGTGGGCCTCTGTTATTACAGGTAAGTTACTCTCCATCTGATCTTCCTTGTTTCCCGTTCTAAAGCGTCAGTGTCCATAAGTTTCTGTGTAAAATTTGCAAGTTTTCACCAGGTTTTTAGCAACGATCTCTCGAAGCACCATCGGTTTATCTTGTGTATATTCATCGGGCGCATCGGTTGTGGAATAGTTAATCTTTTGGGCATCTCGTGGGCCTCACTGCACTCTGACACTCAAGTTACAGTGAACGGCAAAGAAATTGGTGATTTACCTTTGCTGTTCATTGTCTCACAGATGTAGCATTGTGGAAATTTAAGAACCTTTGTAGTCAATCTCGGTCTGCACTCCAGTTGAACTCCACGTTTTGACTCCTTAATTGACCAACGGCTTTACGGTCCCGTAGAGCAGTACGTGTAGCGGAATGCATTTGCAACCGCGTCCGTCCACTCTTTGCGTTTTCCGAAATGTCACCGTGCAAGTGAACGTAGAACCTCATTTGTACCCATATGAGTCTAGGACGATGAAAGATTCGTGTTGAGCTTTACCGGCATATTCATCACGCATTCCACTCGTACATATATCGAAGAGGCAAATGTATGGACTTACCGGTTGAATTGGAGAAACCAGCTGAAAATCGCAAGAGCTCAGATAAGAAGTGCAGAAGTTGATGGGGGAAGACTATCGCAGCCAGGGGGGTTATAAGCTTTAGAACTTCTCTATCTCAATGATAGAAAGTGGCTCAGTTTTTGTAAGATCACAACTGAGATATTTGCATCCCGTAAGTAGCCACATATAGACCAGTCTTTCTCACAAGTCTAGGGATAAAATCTGGGAGTCTCTTTTTCCAGAACATTACTTTCTGTTCCATTCTTCAACTGAAACGAACGGTGGATGCACTTACAGGGATAGATGAAGGAATTTACGCATGGGTAGCCGCAAATTACGCCCTCGGAACCCTTGGAGGAGATCCTCAGGAGACGACTGGAATTGTTGAACTCGGTGGTGCATCTGCGCAGGTTGGTTAACTATTGACGGTTGGTGTGACATTCGTCTATTTGTTGAGTTGTATTTGATGATCATGTTATCAGTGTCCAACGTGATTTTTTTGGAAAGCAATGAGGTAAAAGGTGCGAGCTGTGCGACAAGCCTGAGAGCGGATGCGGCTAGTAAGCGTGGATGTGTTGTTCCGCTGTGTGACTGAATGTAGCTATGCAAGCTACATTCAGAATTAAATTTAACTTTCCATTTCCACCAAATCTTATGCAGGTGACTTTTGTTCCAGAGGTTGTTCCTCCCCCAGCTTTCCGGCATGAGCTCTATCTTGGGGGTGTCACGTACACATTGTACACCTACAGCTTTCTTCAGTTTGGTCAGGTGAACACCACGTTTATTGCTTGAGTATGACTGAGTGTTCGATTTATGGGCAATAAGCGCTACGCCAGGTCTGGTGCTGATTTTGATGATTCACAATCACTCGCAGGAAGCAGCATGGGAGAAATTGCTAGAAATGATTACAGCGGGAGTCCTGAAGACAAGTAAGAGGGCTGACCAATTCCAACCACTAAAGCGTCATTTTTTATTACATCATTAATCTGACTGCATCATACGTGGGTAGTCACACCTCACTGTTGTTGCTACCTACTAAGAATGGAGTGAAAATCTAGTTATTTGAATGACCTGACTGGTTTGTCGAGTCGGTTGCCAGCTTTTAGCTTCTGACTTTGTACGGTGTGGGTGCTTGAACAGCATTATCTGAAGCAGAACATGAAGACGTCGTGGTGGATCCTTGCACTCCTCGAGGTTATGTCTTCAAGCAGAATAGTATTATCAGTGAAGTCACCAACGAACAAAGTGTGAAGGAGGCTATTCCATCAATTCGTTCTGCCGGAAACTTCACTGATTGTCGAAGAGCAGCTCTTGCTCTTCTGCAGAGAGGGCGAGGTATGAGTTCCCACTTCTGGCGGTGCATGCTCTACGCAAACTATTTGTTGGAAGTTTCTCTATATATCTGCAATTCCTTTCTAACCCCAAGTCGTAAATTCTCACTCTCTCTATCTTTAACTTATTCTATGTACCTGTGGTTCACAGGAACATGTTCTCGACTCCTAAAAGTTTCCCTTGTCTTTTTTCTGGTGTTGCAGTCTTACATGGTCGCCTGAAGTTTTAGTGCAGTCTATAGTACTGTTACGGGGTTGTTAGAAAATCAATTCCCTCTTAGATAGTCGTTTCCTCATTCTTCCCTGTCTCTCCCTCCTTGGGAACTATCATCTCATTATATACGTAATTTTTATCGTATATTATGTTTCAGTCTAGCTGTCAATCTAACTTTGACTTGAATGAATCAACCTTACCCCGTGAATTTATAAGCCTTAGAACAAATATTCAGACCTAACCAGTAATGTCTAGATTGGTAATATGCGCATTACTATTATGAATGACTTCCGATCTTGGAAATGATAACACTTTTGAACTTGATCTAAGACTCAGGTTTGTTTCAGCTGTATGCAAGATCGACCCTGCGATAAACTTTATTCGCTAGTATGTGCTAGTCGTATCGTCAATATAATAGTCCTTGCTTCCTTGCTGGACCATGCCAGTGAAGAAAGGAATAGGGTATCTGAAGGAGAATGTAGAGTATCAGTCGTTTCTTGTAGTGGGACGTATTCCCTTATATAGAGGGATGTGGAAGCTCAAGTGTAAACCAAGAAATACTTGAAGAGCCCATGAACTCAACTTGTTCTGTTGAATGAAACCAGAAGAATTATTTGCCAACCAGTGTCAGTTTTGGGCCTTGATTCTAGGCTAAGAATTTGGAATTCAATCTTGACATCACCGTCTCTAGATTTTGGTATTGTGGTAAGTCCCTCTAATTTTTTCAAAGGCGGCGCAACAAATCAGATCATGGGCAGAGGTTTCGTTTCATACGGCTTCCAAATGGCAGGATTGTTCCCACCAAATTGAAAGAGCAACTTAAACGCTTTTTCAGCTCTCAGGAAGATTAGGTCAAAACTTTATTCCTTGTGAATGGAGGGCTTCCGGAAAATGTGACCGAATAAAGGCAAGAAAGTAGCTGTTCCTGCTTGCAGTGAAGACAAAAGTGAAAGCTAAAACTTTAGCCTTTAGAGACTAGTTTAGTTGTCGGTAACAAGTCTGAGTTAAAAACCCTGCAAGCAAGGCAGCAGTCTTGTACTAATTCATGTCTAGGGTTCTTTTTCTGAAACGATTCTCTTGGCCGTAATGGTCCAAACTTACTCTTTTTCATCTTTGTCAAGAAGTACTAGAATCGACAAAAACTAGAACACCGAAGTGTAAATTCTATGTAGAGACGAAAGGAGAGACATCAACTTTACATAACTTTTGAGTTGTAGCAATTACCAAATTTGTAGGCTTGCAGTGGTCTTCTACGCTGATAGTTTCTAGATATTGCATCTTGTTTGAGACAAGCTGAAACCTTAAGTAATGGTTCCATGTCGAAGTCGTGTTTGAATTCTCTCAATGAGAAGGAACGTTATTCTCTTCGTTGATTTTTGGTGTCTTGTATTGGAGTGCACATTCTTGCGTAAGTTACGTTGATTTTTGGTGTCTTGTATTGGAGTGCACATTCTTGCGTAAGTTACGTGTCGTAGGATTCAACTAAATTGAATAGTACATGGAGTCTCAACACTAGTGGGTGATTAGGTGCCTCACAGACTACTATTTATGGAGAGTTTCATATGGTGTTCTGTTTGTGGTGATGTCCTCTTGCAGATAATTGCCTGTACAAGAAGTGTGCAATCGGATCGGCTTTTGTTCCTGAGTTGCGAGGAAAGTTTTTTGCCACTGAAAATTTTTACTACACTTCTGAGGTTAGTTTTTGTTTTTGGATGGCTACGGTCCACTCGCTCTGAGTCGCGGAATATAGCCGAATGCGCCGTTTTGGTAGCAAAATGTCCGGGTTACTGTTCTGAATTACAGGTTTAGTCTTTAAGTATACATACATGAAATCATATGCAGCATGTCCGAGCGACTGATTTCTTCCAGACTGGTTGCATTAAACTAAATCGTTGATACTAGTCATTCGTCATGGCTACTTGTCATAGTTGTAATAAAATTCCGATGAACGTTTCTGGATTGGAAATATTCAATGCGCTACACTGTTGACTTTCATTCTGATGCAAAGTTCATCGTTTGACGTCCTGATGCTATGGTGGTTTTCCAGTTTTTTGGATTGCCATCAACAACCTCCCTTGCAGAGATGGAACTTGCAGGACAGCATTATTGTGGTGAAGACTGGAAGACACTACAACAAAAGCATCAAGGCATGGAGACAGAGGACCTGCTCAAGTACTGCTTCTCAACAGCCTATATCGTAGCTTTGCTCCATGACACCCTTGGAGTCGACATGCGTGACGACAGGTCCCGATCTTTGTCCCAAGCCTCTTATTTTTATCGCAACACAAAGTGATAATGTGTATGATGAAATTGAAGTGAAGATGAATCAGTGTAGGTTGCCTAAGTGAATCTAGTGTGCTATTGTAGCTCTGTTCTAAAGTTTGTACATGGTTTACTTGTGGCAGGGTACGTTTCACGAATCGCGTAGGAGAGGTGCCTCTAGACTGGGCTTTAGGAGCTCTGATCGTCCATCTAGAAAATGACAACTTTGGGGAGGTTCCACCAGTATGGTTATTCGGAGAGGAGTCATTCAGGATCTTTGCAATATTGGGGTGCGTGGTCCTATTAGGTTTTGTGGTATGGATGATCATGCGATTCCGAAGGCCACATTTGAAAACTATTTACGATCTAGAAAAGGGTCGATATATCACCACAGCAGCCCGGAGTCATAGATAATTCAATTCTTTTTTCTTGAGAATATTTCATTCTCTGTCTAAGGTTTCCTGCATTATGTGGGATTGCCCGATTTTTTTTGCTGACATCCCTATCATAAGCTGCTTAGTCTTAGCGATCAATGCCGCCGTAGTCACTGCGTCAACAAATTTTAGTCCTGAAATTGAGTTCACATTTTTAGGTGTACAGTACCTTGGTTGGGACCCTCAATGCCTCTTCACCGTAGGAACTGAATTTTGGTCCCTCTCACTCTGAGCTGGTGAAATGTATGATAATCGTCTGCATTCAATATACCTGATTTTAACCAGAAGGCCGTTAACTTGAGAAAATTGTCAGTAGTTTATATTTTAGATAGTGGAGTGCCGAGGGAAATACAATATTCCTTGTCGATTTAGTTTTGTATGTGGTTACTTACATACACTTAGGATTTGGTGTGCCTGCAGTAGATATATTATGCACACAGCAAACACATACGTGGTGTGGATGGTCACTTGGAGATATCATACCTTCCTATGCGTCTTGACAGGTCGACAAAGCACCACGAAGTTTATTAGGCAGAAAGTATATGTACTACGATTCTTTGTTGTGCAGGCTAGAGATTGTTTACTGGTCATGTATATTCCTGAATTGACACACAATCGCACACTTGAAACAAAAGATTCTCAAACATTTGACATTTGTGTGCTTCACTTCGTGGTCTGCTCCTGGTTTGCAGTGATTTGAAGGAGTCCATTAGTTATGTACACTCAGTGACTTTAAGGCTGTGGTTCACAAGTAAGCAATTTTTTCGAAGATGTCTTATCTTTTTCATCGGAATTCTGGATCCTTGAGCATCAGTGCACTTATTCTGTTGTGCTGACTATGGTTAGCTCGAGCAATGTTGAATCACCTCTTCAGGTATTGTTCTGCTTCTGTTACGGGCAGATGTACATAATATCCATGTTTTTATACTGTAGAAATGTACCATAGTGTTCTCGATGCCTATTATTAAGGAAATGTTACTTGAAGTGTGTAAATTGTTGGTTCGACGTTGTATATGTATATACAAGAAATTGTAGGTGAAATACCTATGTTTGGCTTATGCAGTACGGAAAATATGGCGTGTAGGTGTAAAAGTAGACGAGTAGTTTCGTAGGTTAGTTTCCTCGACTACAGCCGTTCATTGTCTTCAAAACTGAAAAAAAGAGGCATATGTAGTCGAAATGTTTGATACTGTACGTCTGCCTCAATCTTTACTTCAATTTATTCGTGTCGAACACAAGCAAGGTGCCTATTTTTTGATAAGTTGTACATCACCAGTGCGGCCAACATTTTCTCTGATCATTCTCTTGTGAACCGAGATTTTCTAAATTTTCGCTATATAGTAATCTCTTCCCTTTCTGTCAAATTTTTGGGAGGGAAGTAAAGGAAATTCACTCGAAGAACTCGCAACTCTATTCCAATATTTACACTCGCAACACTCTTCGTCAGTAGGTTTGACGCAGGTCTGTCACTTAATGCTGCTACGTTTATCCCGTACAGACAAGAACTTCAGATGCGCATTTAGCAACCTTTCCTCGGCATGGAGGTGAGATGTTACTTTGGGAAACTCTGATTCGACCAATGCTGTATGATTGTTGGGAGAAAGGACGTGGGATTGTTCTTAACAAGGTGGATTGACTACGGAGAATATCGGACATCGGAATCAAAATAAATTGAATGTACATAAAAATTATTCATCTGACTGCAACGTAGTATACCCGTTAGCGTGATAGTCCTAGTAAACCTCAAAGACAGTGATGATATTGAGTCAAAACGGAGAGAGAACTTGCCATCAAACTTTAAACATTAGCAGACGAGTCCTCACCTAGAGAACTGCTAAACTCGTTGAGATCCCACATGGGGAAAATATGTGTACACTGCCCGATCGAAGCATTGAAATCTTTAAAGTTATGCAATTCACCCAAAATACAGGTTATGTCTGACTTTAATTCTTGGCCAAAATCTACATTTTCTGCTGAAGTCACAAACAGCCTGCAATGACCAGATATAAATTGCTCTAAGCTCTCAACTAACTCCGAATGTCCAGATGTTGACAAATGAGCAACATATCGGTATGAGCAACATCTGACACTTATCTTACAAAATACAGAATTGAGGAGCATTTCCTTGTGTTGCAGAAGTCACGAAGAGCTCGTTGTGGTGGCAGAAAGGCCTGTAACATAAAGGCTGGCCGCAAAAACAATATCCCTTTTAATGGCTTGAGATGCTTCTTCCATCTTTTTGAACAACGAGGAATCTCCTATGATGCGAGCTGCGTTCTTGAACTCCCTACATGTTTCATCAAGCCTCACAATCGTTCGCACAATAGATCCTTCTGGGACATCAGTGAGTTCACATATGTCGGCGAAAGGTGTGCCCTGAAGAACAAACATATTATCAACTGCCTTAGACAAAGCCTTTCTCTCTACAACTCGTAAATCGTAAATGCGCCTGAAAATTGCTCCGATCCTCATAAATCTACACCTAACAAAGTTCCTCCTCGGCATGTGATTTCACAAGAATCTTTATTCGCTGAGTCCTAAGAGAAATACGACTTTCAGCAGTACAATCAACAACACATCACGTTGTGGTGGATCTCACGGTACCTTCGCCCACTCGTAAACGACCTCCACTAGTCCAAATCTGAGGGTCCCGCGCGCAAAGTCAACGGCATTTATTGGAAGACCATGGTGGGCTTGAATCTCTCCTAGCCTTACAGCAGTCATATACAACCTGAAAGAAAGAGGTATTACTGTAAGCATGTAGCACGCGAGTTGATATTCTTCAGGTCTTAACTGCTAACCTGCGATTTTCATCCGAGGGAGAAAGTTGACTCGAACTGAATCTAGGTTTGACCATTCTTTACATTTTATATTTGTAAGTTGTTAATGAACGATATGTACCTTTCCTTGGCTGCTGCCAGTTGCGGGGACAGGAGGGGTTCACTGGCTGTCCGCTCTTGTTGAAAGACAAGAGCGGATAACAAAGCAACTGTTTCTGCAGGGTCGAGATCATCAAGCTGATTGTCAAATAAGCATTCAGTGGCAATGAGTTCATCTCCACTGTTAATTTCGCAGGCCACTCGTCCTTTCAGTTGAACTACCAGATCAGCATCAATGCATCCCACCTCCTGCAAGACTTCGATCTGGAAAATTTCCGTAGAAGTCAGAAATGATTGATTCTCTGATTACGTAGCACAATTCGCACTGTTAATAAGTTCGGTCTAAATTACAACTCACATCCAACGGAGACTAGTCAATGAGGAAGGTCAAGCCATTGATATCGAGAAGATGACTTGCAGTGACAGAACTCAGCATTATTATTGAGTAAAACACAGGTGAATCTTGATGTAAGTATCTATCTAACATTATCACGTAGCGTCTGGTCATCATAACAATGTCAAATGGAACGTAAATATCCACCAAGTTACTCATGTACATTTGCTACACAAGGCACGACACTTAGAGAAGAAAAACACGTAGTCAACTGACGATAATACAAAGATATAAGAGGTATGAGACAAACACGCTGTTGGAAGTCGGGCATCTGCTGTAGAGCGGCATCAGAGAGCTCAAATTTCAGCTGCTTTACTCTTTCCTGGAGAAGGTGCTGATTTTTTACGACAACATAATGCTCTTGCAACTTCGGACATCGATGACACTTGTTCTGAGCCATCCTGTTCAGAAGCGCGGATCTCTTACGATACTTTTCGACTATATCTAGGTCATTCAGCTTCAGATCTGTAAACAATATATACACGAGCTGTTAAACCATGAGTTCGTGCCACACTCAAAGCAAAGATCAAAGAAGTGTCACTTGTCTCAGATAGCATCTATTGTCCTATGATGGTAGAATCTCATCATACATCAAACTTTGAGTTCAGTCGTCATAGACTAACTTATACTGGCAACAAAAACCTGTGCAGTATACCAAGCACGATGTAAGTTACATATGATTCAGACAAGTCCGGATTTCGACGTGAACCTTTTAGAGGGTCTAGTGCAGGGGGATCTTCATCTGTATGCTCTTGCTCGAGTAGTAAGAGTTGCCGGATTGCAGAAGAGTACGCTGTGACGTTTACATCCTCCAGCAAACGCGCAGGATCAATCTTGATTTTCGCTTTACATATACTTACGAAATTCTTATTCTCCACTTCCAAAGCTACATATCCAATTCCAGCTGCCGTTCCATAATGAGGAAAAGTGACCTTTACAGTGCCTGACCCCTTCCGGGATGATCCATACGACACAGAGTACTCGTCATCAAGGCTCCTGTTTTCCTTCCGACTGATGAAATAACCTTCTTCGGCAAGCTTCTTCGTTGAGAGTACGGAACCCGTTGCGTTGCTGGTAGCAATCAAAGGTGTGATGGGAACTGGACCACGATGGAGGGCAAGGACAACAGTTGCCTTGTTAGTGCCCGAAGGGGCTCTTACAACGACTCCCAAGGAAGGTACAGGCACCTGCGAACCAAAAGAGTAGCAGCAAAGTGAGAAAATTAATATCATCCTTCAAGATACATTCTGCTGCAATGCAGTACTGGAGTATATTTTCCGTGTCTCCAAGATTTTGAGTACTTCCGTTTTCTGTATATTGGAATGTTTTCATGGTCCTCTTTCGTTAGGAAGAATGGGGCCAGCATGGCGTAAATCTTTTGATCAAACTTGTGATGAGACTTACCAGATCATCCTAAACCCTAAACCCATTATAATACATTGTCGATCAGAAGCACAAATCCACTTTCTGAATTTCTACACTGTTCATCCTCAGACTTTAGGTCACACTTCTGGCTGTCATGCATGGCCTTTCAAAAACATTATCTCTAAGAGGAACGTGTAAATTTGTTTCCTTACTTGTATCACTTACAATCACTCACGAGCGATTTAAAAGAGAAACAAACATGAAACAAGACAAAGGAAAATGAATACATACTTGAGGGGTTTTAACAATTACGACCCTGCCTTGGGAAAGAGCCTGTTGAGCTGCGCGTGACTGCATAACTGTCTCCTGCACAATCTCCCCTAATTTTTCTGCTTCGATAGCCAGCGCATAGTATTCTTCAACAGTCGGCTCACCAAGTATACAGCTATTTCAGCATTAAAAAGAGCTGTTAGCAAGCTTTCCTTGAAAATGTTACTCAGCTAAATGACCTCCACTGTGGTTTCTAACATCTGCACTCAGCAACATATCAGTCTGTCCGTTTGCCTGAGATAAGTCGCTGTCTACAATCCCCGGCTGTCAAAGAACAAACAACTTGAACAAACAACTTGACAAATACGGAGACTTGATACCTGCCCAACAAAGCTACAACGGGAACTAGCAAAACAAATATTGAAGAATTTTCTGCCTTCGCTTTTGCAGCTTTAAATCCACTCAGTCTGCCGATCTCTATGTAGGAGAGAAAGGCGTCAAGTCAGCGAACCCAGCAAGCGCTATGTCGCACGATTCGTTTATCATTCACTCACTCGATAGTAGCATTCATCTTCGACAGGGCACCCTCTCGTTCAAGAAGCTGCTGCTGCTGTTCTGGAAGTGCACGCTGAGCGTGAAACTCGGCAAAACTCCGCTTCAACATGTCTTCAACCTGTATTGTCCATCACAGCGTCAGTTAATTTCCATGACCATGATGTGCAAATACGACCTGGGCAACACTTCAGCTAGTTCTGAAACACAAGTTCGAAGTAAAAGCATTGAGTACTCAGAACTATTGATCCGGAAGTATGGCTGTAAACTCTCAACTACAGAACAGTCAATATACACCAACTATCATCATGATACCAGAAGTTTGGAGCGGATTTTCCTTAGGTGCTTCTAAGAATTCTATTTTTTATTTCGATTTTCCAGATCATCATGCTCTTTACGGTTCAGTGTCACCCAAGCGCCAAATGTTGAAAGAAGGAAGATACTAACCTTCAATTCTTCAACACGAAGAAGATTCAGGATCATGCTGTAAGTGAGTCGAAATTGCGATTCCAACTTAGTAGGCTTTCCAGTTAGAAGGCGCCTTAAATCTCCCTCTTCAGGAATATCATCCCAACACATAACAACCACGGTCCCGACCTGTGTAAGGAGTCACAGAAGATGAGCCAGAGCAGTAAGATATACTGATAAGTGATATATTTGTGATCAAAGAGTTAGTAGTTGCTTGCTGATTACCTTATCCAAACCCCGCCGTCCAGCTCTGCCAGCCATTTGGGTGTACTCGCCGGGGAGTATCTGCCTGAACGACTTCCCGTCGTGCTTCCGGAAACTGTGAAAAGCAACCTGCAGAAGAAATGCAATTTGAGGACTTGGAATGCCAGCTGGATATTAACATACTAATCAGAATTGATATCAGAAAACATAATTGAGACGCAAAAATATCATCCAGGTTCAAGGAGTAGATTGTACCGTTCGAGCAGGAGCATTTACTCCCATGGCAAAAGTTTCTGTAGAGAACAAAACCTGAAGTCAAAGAAAAAAAACACAAAACTGAGCTGAGTTTTACGTTTAAAACTTGGACAAGAGTATGATCATATACTTTCTTAAAAACTTCCTACCGATGGCAAGCCTGCCATATTGGACTCTTCAAACAGCAACAAATCACTTACTAGGTCCCAGAAAGTATTCCATTGAGAAAGAAAGTATTGATGAAGCTTAGTGATATAAATCATGGAGATCACTCCCCTGTACTACATATGTACTTTTCTCCCTTTTGACTATTAAACTGTTCAGTAAGTTGGTTGTCCTCGAGCATGTTGCGTTGACGATTAAGCTAAACTGATAAACGGTAAAGAGAAAGATAAAGTTGGCCATATCCATTTCGGTGAGCAGGTGGAGTAGATGAGGTGGACCTTGATGACACCGCGGCAGAATAGCATTTCCACCACCTCTTTAACAATCGGAAGAAGGCCAGCATGGTGGACCCCAATTCCTCTGCGAAGCAAATCTTCTACTCTTACAACCTGCGCAAAGAAGGCTCATAGAGTCGTAAGTAAAAAGCAGTGACTTGCTTGATGAGTCTCATGAGGAAACAAGAACAACGTCGTATTTTCCAAAAGACTACCATGTTTTGCGTCTATGAAACTAGGGCCTTCTGGTAATAGTTAAAGCGTGGACGTAGAAGGTAGAAATGTCTCTCTGCTTTTAGATCCTGACGCTATGTGATGCATTTCCAGAACTAACAAAAGTCTTGACTGCAGCACCTGGGGGAGACGCCGGTCAGATCCTTTAAGTCGAGAAAATGCTGTGTCACAGAAGACTTTGATCTGACTCTTCTCGGAGCTAGTCGTTAAATCTGTTGCTGTCAAGCTATCAGATGACTGGTCACAACGCACCTTGGAGAAGCAAAAGACAACCACCTGTAAAAGGTCCCAAAAGGTGGAAAATATCAGATATGTGCTGTTCCAAAAATATAAAGACGAAATTCTGTAGGTTTTCTACAGGCGAGCTGTACATGTCAAGAACAAAGTCTCCACTCAAGACGTAGGCTGAAACTGTATTGAATGAATCTTGAACAAGCTAGCACTTACTGGAAGTAAACCTTTCTTCAACAGATAGTTGACGAAGGAGTACCATTGTGATGTCTCCGATCGCCATGCTCCACTGCTACCACGCCCACCAGCTCCTTGATTTCCTCCCTTACCTCCAAAAGACTTTCCACCGTGAGATGTATTACCCCTACCAGGTCCTCCACCTCTACCATGAGCGTTTCCGGCACCTCGGCCCTGAGCAGCACCGCCACTGGCAACCTTTGGAGCAGTCTTTACGTGGTGGGCATCACGAGCCTCCTTAATTCCCAAAGGAAGAAAATTCTCCATACTGCAGATTTTGTAAAGTTCTCCCGAGTAATATAAACAATGTTCTAGGGGAACAGGCCTCCGGGTGGTTCTGATAAAGAAAAGAGCTTGTTATAGATCGCAAGACAAGTTTACCAAATTTAGAAGTGACAAGCTTTTCTAGGTCTCTTACACTACGGTCATGAAAACTCCACCCTCAGTTTGTGCAAAACAAAATGAGGAAGGAAGAAGGCACAGGCCTAGAAGCCAGCTGAGGTTGCTAACGATACAAAACGAGGACATAAGAAGAAAGAAAGCGAGCTCACCCTGTCACATATATCTTCTTCTTTTTGGTCCGGCCTATCCAATCTGCAAACTCAAATGTGTTTGGCACCTGATGTCATTCAAAGGAGCTGTCACACTTTATGATATCTTCTCGACCATATTTCATGATTCTATCGACCAAAAGTACCTACACAAAACTCCGATGTGATGTTTGAACAACGGAAAAGCATGAAATTCAAGAGGTTCAATTTACTATGGGCTCAACAAATAAGTGAAGAATAGAGATTGATAGGATGATTATAAATTCAAGATTAGATAGCACATACTGTGGCAGACAAGAGGACCATATTCACATGCTCTGGTAGCATGATAATGACCTCCTCCCAAACAACTCCTCTCTCAACGTCATTAACATAGTGAACTTCATCGAAAATAACCTGGAACCCCATCCACAGGAACAAAGGACGGGTTCTTAGTGAGTATATTTGAAAGTAGAGTTCAGTTTCAAACAGATGAAAACAAAGAGTTTAAAGGGGATACTGGGACCCAGGTTGACACGAGAGCAAATCGATAGAGCGTAGAGCTGATTCGGTTCTTGTAAGGACTTTACAAGGTGCCCGAATTCGAAATCTCAAGATGTTGATTCTTACCCATTCGATATCTCGCACAATATCGGCACCTTTGTAGAGCATGGACCGCAGAATTTCGGTAGTCATGATAAGGCAGGAAGCCTCTGGTCGTAAACTTACATCACCAGTCAGAAGACCAACATCAAATTTGTCGCTGAAGTCTCTGAACTTCTGATTGCTGATAGTCTTGATAGGTGACGTATACACCGCCCTTGTACAATGCTGTTAAAAGGCGTCGTTTGATAAGAATCGAATATAGATAGAAAGAGCGATGTTCAATCTGATTTGCTACTGCTAACGTCCTCCCAGATACATGACGGTAACTGTCAGATCAATACGTCGCCAGGTTACGAAATAAACGTCAAGGCAAAAGTTTAAAGTAAAAAGTTTTGCCAAAGTATGAATCATCCAATGACACGTGCAGGGTCTTCGGTAACGTATACCACTGCTTCCAGACTGGCAACAAAACTAGTGGTTGCAGAAAGGAATAATCGGACCAAATTGTACTAACAGTCACATCCAGAGATCACATCAGAACATATGGACAACATTATATAGCTTAAGATACTCCAGTTTTCTACTTGTTCAGGAAAACTGGAAACAAGGCACTCAAAGGAAGAGAGGAAAATGTCACACACTTTAGTAGCTAAAGCGAATGCATATTCTGCAACAACAGTCTTCCCTGCTGATGTATGAGCAGCCACAAACACCGACTCGTTTCTTTCGAGATGATATATAGCCTGCAACACAACGCCAAGCCCAGCGGTAAGTCTCCAAATGCACCAGCTAGAGTATACTCTGCACAAGATGAAAACATATGTCCAGTTTCCTCTATCGATCCAAAGGGCCAATTTGCTTCTGAGGTCCGCAAATAATTGTATCCATATTCGGACGTACCTCTTTTTGAAAAGCGTCCAGTTCAAATGGAAAAGTCATAGCCATATCTGGCACTAGTTCACTGAATCTCTCAGTAACTCCTGGGATTGCTTCCATTACAGCCCATACCTGGAAAAGCAGATGTAAGAAGATAGCCGGGTCCTTACTGACATCGACACCCAGCGTCTACTTCAATAGATGTTATATAGTACTCTTCACGATAAAATAACGAAATTTGTAGCAACGAAATTCAGGCGTATTACCTCCCCTTTCTTCGCATCCTTCTTCTGGTCTGTCTGTAGGCTAGATAGTATTTCATCTTTAATGTCAGAGAAGATTATGTCAAGCTCGGGGTCCTGCTCTCGACTCTCTGAAAGTTGAGTTGAAGTATCTTTCTCTTCATCCTCGGCAGTTTCATCCGAAAGTTCTTTCTCTGCAAGCAAGAAAAAGTTAGGCTACCCTTCTTTTCCTTAGAACAATTTATTTATCATTTTTATAGCACCCGAAGCCCTTATCTATTTCTGTTGATCGTAGAACCGAAACGACAATATCAACGATGGATCCGAAAGATCTATCACTCAGCACAAAGAGTGGCAGCACACAATAGAAGTCTTTTATGTTGAGACTACTGATTCATATTATGTTACCTTCCTCCGTATCTTCCGGAATATCACTTTCTTCCCAGGCCTTTCTAAACAGGTCATCAAAGGGGGCCGATCCTGCTTCCTGCCAAAGGTAACGAAATTAGGACACAGTGAAAAGGTGCAACTTCGACTCAGTGATCGATAGCTACATGATGGAACTGTCAAGATCTAAATGGAAACTCTAAAACACCACTTTCGACTGAAGTCTATGTTTACGTTCATGTTTCCAATATTGAAGCTCCCACATTCTTTGCGGGACAAAGTATCCCAAGCTGACTTCCCATCAACTTGTGAGACCTTAATATCATGCCTATCTTGATAAGAACTCATACGACGAATAAACAGAACCTCTAAGGTGATAGAATGGTGGAAGATTCCCGTACGCGTACTTACCCTAGTTGACGACATGTCCACATAGCTCTCTTCCTGGGGTTTGAACAAGAATGGCTGCACACAGAACGGGTATCAGACGAGGCATATCTGTTCTAGTTACGACGTAAACAGGTACTTGAGCTGTCTTCAACCCTGCCAGCTAAAGTTGAAGCAAATATTTAAGGTGTGTTGAGGTAAGACACATCATTTCCTTACTTCAGGAGCACCAAGATCCAAACCACGTTTGAAGCCTGGAGGAATCGTCTGTAGGGGACCTCCATGTAAAATTTCCGACAGCCATTCACCGTTCACAGCTCCTGTGGAAACGTATCTTTCTGATGTTTGAGAAAAGTCAAATCCTCCGGGCAGGAAGGGTTGGTTACCAGAGCTTCCTCTAACAAAGTGGTCAGGAGGACCAGGCCTCCGAAGTACTGATGAAGAATTATGAGCTCCTTCAGACGACTGGACAACTTCGACCTGCAACGACCACAACAAAAGAGCAAGTCTAGCTTACTTGAACCACAAAGTTTACTTTTGGCTTCAGACAGTTTTGCCACAAGTCATTATCTAGCCAGATTTTCCAAACTCATTCTCATCTCTTCTATTTCTTGCTTATTGGCTACATTCTCCAGCAATTCTGTATCTTTACAAACAGGTTATAATTATAGTACACAAGCAAATAGCACTAAAGCGACAACCAATTCAATGAAATCACACTGAACAACCAGAGAAAGACTGCTCATACCTGTTCATACCCTGGAATCCAAGGATCATTAAGATTCGTTTGCGACGAGGTTTCATTTGGAATTTGAGTTGAATCAATCCCAATCTTTAAGCCTTTTCTATTGAGGCGCCTGAATGGTGGTTCGTAGACAGGAACCACAGCAACTTGTGGTTGTGACGGCTCTAACCGTCGTAGACCTTCTCCATACCAATCAAAATCCCAGCTTTTCCCAGTTTTTGCTACACTGTCAAGCTCATCATCAAGAGAGATGGACAGATACTCGTCCTCTATTTTCTTCCGGATCTGCTCTGGAGTTTCCGCAGGGAAAGGAGGGGGCTGCAGTTTTAAGATACAGGGTGGTAGTAAGCAAAAGCCAGTGAAACCTCTTTCATCTCTGCTCATACCAATACTGGGATCCTAAATTAAGTCTAATCTACTTCAGAGAACCGTAAAATCAGCTCAAGCAACTGTGTCAAATTGTCTGGAGATGTTCCAGTGGGTTCTTTTGGTCTCACCAATATAAGATCGGGAAGGTCATCCAAAGGACTGTTTTGAGAGGTGGAACTTCTGGGCTCAACCCAGAGATGCCCAGAATACCCTGTCCATCCAATTCGAAATGGTAATTCTCCTCCTGCATGGAAAGTCCAGGAACATTACAATTCTTTTTGTATTGACGGATACAAATTCTTTCCAAAACGTCAATAACTAAAACACGTAATTATTGCGCTCAAAAGCACGCGCATGTCTGCGAGGAGCATTGCAATTTTTTCTGCGTTGAAGGATACAATTCTTTGCGAAACGTCAGTCACTAAAATACGTAATTCTTGCGCTAACAAGCACCGGCATGTCTGCGAGGTTCCATGAAAAAATTGCAAAATTATACAGAGAAGAATTCACTTGCGAGCTTGCACGGAAAGAGTTTGGAAGAATGATTGGAACAGTATCTCTGGGAACGAAGAAGGTCATACAACGTTCTACGGCATGGGGTTGTCAAGCTCATCGTGAACGTCCTAGGAACCAAAGTCGGACACAATTGGTCGGTCTTTGCAGACATGATATAATCTAGATTATGCGTCCTTACCAAGATTCGGACCCATTTCAAAAACCTTCAGCGCGGGCCGATTCAGAATAAGTCCACCATTCGATTGTGCTACATGCTTCCTCTTGTTGAACTTTTCAGAGCTGAAGTTTACTTCAATGTGCCTTCACGAGCGCTGTCCAGTTTTGTGATTTGAGACTCCTGCAGTATTGTGTGATTCGAATTAACATAGCTTACAGATTGTTGAAAAGCTTGGAACGTAAACAAACCGCGCAAGTGGTGTCGATCAATACATTCTACAGTCTTTAGCTGCCCTCCATTAAATGGGAAGGAAAGAAAGGTGTTGTGAGGAGCACGAGCCCGTGCCCTGGACAATCGTAGCTACGACGTTAATGATCAAACTTCCAATTCCTCCAGATTGACGCAGAAATTGAAATTGTGTACCGAAGGTTGGAGCGATTCTCTGACGGATTTCCTTCCAATTCCTCAGAAACAGTGTTTTGAACCGACAATTGATTCACCGCTTAAGACAGGAACGGGAAGAGTTTCTCTCATATAACTCGTTTTGCAATGCCCACGAGAACTATTAACAGAGAGAAAATGGCAAGCAAGCAAAGGCAAATTATAGCAAGCAAGCAAATTCTTAAAACTTTGAACATTTAAAAAGATGTTTTTATTTATGTAATTTCTTTATATCATCCTATTAGTTTTTATGATCATCCATTTGGATCATTATGTTCATGCATATAGTTGCATTTCACACCATCAATTATCAATTTGATCTTCCAAACAAACACTTTTACTTTTTCTTACACTTCAGTTTCTAGAGCAAACATATTAATACTTTTTTGTAATTTGTTGACATTCTCTCTGATTTTGATTTCAGTTAGAAGTTATAATACTATTTCACAATTACATACCGTGATCTTGTACATTTTATATTGTTTGTCATTCAGTTGTATCTCCATATGTTATTGAGGTAATTAAAGAGTCAATCAGTTACATGCAATAATCATTTGTTGTGGCTGATTAAACTTTTTTTGGTGAAGATGTTAAATTGTGTATTTGAATTTTCATTATAGTAACTTTTTTGAGAATTTGATGATTTTTTTTTATACTTATGTTGATATGAAAATTGATACTTATGTTGCATTTTGCTTATAACTTGCTCTGTAACAATAAATTCACACAAAAGTAAACTAAATTGTAATAAAAATCACGAGGATTTAATCATGATATGATTAAACTTGCAGTTATTCAACAATGGAAGAAATATATAAATTCGCTAAATATCATGCTTAATCATCATAATGATGGAGTGAGTATTACCGTGTCATAATCTAGTGATAATTCTCGTTCATTCAACACATAGTTTAACATACCAATAATGTCACCTCCTATTATTGACATCAAAATGAATACCATTAGGTACTAAGTTGTAAATTGATATAATAATAATAATATGTCAATTGTGACATTATCGAGCTTTAATATCTATCATATTTACCAAAAGTATCAATTCAGAGATTGTTTAGAGCTATCAGTATACTATTGATTTAGAACGAATGAAAGTTGAACAGACTTTAGAATTCAAACACAAGTTTAGAATCAAATAGAATGTACAGAAGCTTATGGTTTCTACCGCTGCTCCAAATTCATCAACACATAGCATCAAAAGAAGTCCATCTAGTACATACAACAATGTCATTTGACTCGACGGTTTCTAACCTCATAAGTATTACAATCGCGTGCCGGTCTTCCCTAGATCTACAGTTCTGACTCAAAACAAGTTGCTTGTTGCATGTATTTGAAGCAATCATGAAATCTAAATCGAGGAGGCATGGAACATATTTTGAAAACCCGGCAGTATAGTGATGCTCAAGAAAGGTGCGGTGTGTCAAACATTACTTTTGCCAAGATCCAATCTAAAATAACAAATCTTAAGCAAGGAATGATAGTCACGTTGTATGTGGATGTAACCAAACGCCTAGCAAATGAAAATTTATTTTCTTATAACTTCATCATACGTTGGCTTTATCTTCCTCGACGACGAACAAGTAGTAGCAGCTTGCTCATTTCAAGTATTGGCAATAGCCAAATCCAAACTTGTTAGCATAATCTAAACACTGGTGATAAATTTGCTGACAATTGCAGATGATGATGCGCAGAATGATACATAAAAATAGATATAACTTCATGCTATCATTTTTCATCCACCTACACATCTGCAATTTACAGGATGCAGAGTTGCCCTAACAAAGGTGCCTATCTCAAAAGTTCAAATTTTTTAATGCATCAATCGAAAGCTCGCACGGTCCGATCCAAAGATACATCCACAACAACACGATCTACAGAAAGGAACAAAATTGCAATGATAGCATTGATATGCTTTGTGAGAGTTACAAAACAAAAACAAGTTGTATGGTCAACGAAAGTGAATAACAGTGTAGCGTGTTTCAATGTCTGAAGCACAGAATTTTGATCAAGGCTCCTAAGTAGTGTAAATTGCCCTACACAAATGGAGTCACATTAGTCGTTAGTGGACCAAAAAATACTACCGCCGCTCTTATTTATGATCATGGATGCTGGGTAAAATTGTCATTTCGCACTTCTCGTCAACGAATGAAAAACAAAAGATACTACATCGGAATTCGAGACTATCAAATCCATATTTTCGATAAATTCAACAATGAGGCAGAGTCAGATCTTCTGTTGAGACATCATTGTGTGCAACCATGACTCAGCACATCTAATTACGTCCATGTAAGTCAACGCGGATTTTGCCATGAATTGCGAAAGACTTGACAGACTTAACAAACATTACATCTTCGCTTCTCGTTGCAAGGACTTGAATGGAATTATATGGGGACTACGCTTCATCCACAGGACCTTGTGACACATAGGAAAATGATCTTCTACTCATGATCAATTTAATGACATCTAACTAGAATCTTATACATGTACTGTTGAAGTTTAATATTTGGACGGTTTTTATCACTACTTTATAGTTGAGCAAACAATTCACACATAAATGATGATTCATAGAATTGATTCCACAAATATATAACATCCGTCTTATGAAAAAACATAATAAGTCATATAGAAAAATTCTCTCGCGAATCTTTAAGATTTAAAACGATAAAATAATGTAGTATTAAATGTAGTATTTCATCATTATGCTAAATATAACTTACATTATTGTTTATAGTATAAAGTGTAGGTGTATTACTTTCTCTAGTGTGATGCTTTAAAGCCTTTCGATAGAAGCTTTGTAAATCAAAAGCAACTCTTTCAAGGCTTACGGTGTCGAAATTATAATGACCCTAGATGTTAGTGAAGCAAAAGCAAATGAATAAGAAAAACACATGAATTTAACTTACTCCATTACATTTTTGAGTTATGTTGGAAATAAAATTATCTATAACCAAAATCATCCACGATATTAGGTTCATCTTGAAGTAAGTTTTCACTCCTTGATGAATAGAAATTACGTATTCTAGATGTGTTCAATCCAACTCACTTGTTATGTTAATTCTAGCAAAGAAAATAATTTTATCAATTTCAAAAAAATTGCAATTATTTTATGATATATAAAATTACATTACATTTATATTAAATATATTTTTTATTTTAACTAATGAAAAACAAATTCAGAAATTTAATTTTGAAGTGAAATATATAAACATATGTTCTTCATTAAAATTAATCCATATAAAATTAATTTTTTAAAGTTTTAAAACATCATCTGAATTTGATAATTCAAGTATATTTCTTAGTATTAAGAAAAAAAATTATATGTTTTCAAAAAAAGATAGCTATTTTAATTCAATTACATTTAAAATAGAAATGTAATTATGACAAAAGCATCATGATACCAATTTTAAATTGAAAACAATTTTGTATAATTGAATAAGCTTTTTGCTTTTAAAGTTGTTCAATAAAACATGAATAATTTAATAGAATCCCTGATCAATGTTAATGAATGTTTAAGATGAAGTTCTTGATCAATTATGTGATTCGATAACAAATGATTTCAGGTAAATTAGATCATACTTGACTGAATAGCAATTAAAATATGCTTTCATAGTCACGAATTCAAAATGTCTTTAGAAAATTTATCCAAACATCTTGAGAGTGTGGTAATTTTTTGCCTCTCCAATTCAAATTTTATCTGGTATTCATCATTGCATATCTATGTAATCCAAATGTAGTGAAATCTCATCCATAGGTTTTTATACTCAATTCAACATCACTTGCATATTATATATTTGATGTAGTACATATATGCTACAGCTATGAAGACAAAGTGTTGCAATCTATTGAGAAAAAATTAATCCAAAAAAATATAGTAATTTTTGATTGCAGCATCTTGAGTCCAATACCTATGAACTACGTAAATTTATAGTTGAAAATGCATGATCCAATTTATTTGTAAATTGTATTACATAAATAATCTATTCTCAACTTCATTGTTTCATTTCATCATCATAACAATTGAAATAGAATATATAAAATATAGAATTTCATTTTTTGCAATGAGAATTCAATACAACAAATGAGGTTAAAATTTAGTTGATTGTTAGTAATCAAACTCTTTATGTTTATATGTTATTAAATATATGGATAAATAAATATTAATGAATCAATATGGATCTTCGATCCAATTTTAAAATATTCATTCATCTAAGAAATTCACATCTAAGATATTTGATTGATGAAAAAAAGAAGTAATTCTTCTTATTTATAATCTCAAAAAGTCATTTTATATGTTGCTATGTAACCATCTTTAGTTAGTTAGAACTAAAGTAGAGGTTACTCTGAATATTGATGTAGATACTTTAGTGTGCACTAGTCATAGCTGCCACGTCAGCGATCCGCGCACTTGATAGGTACAGAGTGGATGTGTTAGTTGACAGTGCCAAGTCAACAATTCGTGTGCTTGTAGGTAAGGATTGAGTGTGTTAGTTAGTGTGTTAGTTGGTGCGCCACGTCAGCGATTCGTGTGCTTGTTAGGGTTATCCGCCACGTCATCCATCCACTAGGAGTGGGATGGATGGTGTGGATTAGATGTTATCACCTTGTACTTGTTGGTGAGAGCTATATAAGGAGAGGAGAACCATTGTTGGTATCTCTCATCTTCAGAGTTTACGTTTCTATCTTCGAGTGAACTTCTCTCTAAACCCTAGTGTTACAATGGTATCAGAGCGACCTTGCTCTTTCCTTGAGTGTGGATTACCCCTCATGGAATAGCAAGTGAGTGATGATGGAGTGTAGTCTTGAGAGTGTATAGAGGCTGGCAGAGGTTATTCATCTGCATGTAGAGAGAGGTGGAAGGGGGAAATTGTGTTTTTGCAGATATGGACGGGATTGACAGGAATCCAGTACCGTAGTGGCCAATTCCTAATCTATTCGATATTCACCTTGGTTGCATGGAGAAACATCATTTTCGGATGTACCTTGTGGCTTGTTGGGGTGCAGATTTTATGACTAGAGTGATGGAGTCAAGAGTGCCACTGATTCTTCCAATAGTTACTTATGGAGAGACTTGGAATTGTACTATATACATTATATACTGATTGTTTCATGGATTTGAATCGCGAACCACATGTCC